AAAACTCCTTTGGTAAAACTCGCTGTCAAGTAGAAATTTATTTTGAATCATGAAATATATTTTTCCTATGCTATTTTAGCTTTGCTTTAATTTGCTATTTAGCAATGCCCTGAAATATTAATAATTTGTTTAATAAATTCCCTCTAACTCTTAATAGATTTTTAATGAAGAAATCTGTCTTAGAGATCTGTGCAAGAATTGATATTGCATACTTTCTGAAAGTGTTAAATTATTGACCTGCGGAACAGTTTCATTTGAGCATCTATCCTTTGCTTGCCATTGTCTATGTCCAGATATTCTTAGCTTTGTGAAATGTAAAAATTATTGATCCCATAAGCCATAATAACAGATATTTTAGGAATGAGAAGAAAAATGTTTCATCTACAGTCAATTTATAGAAAATAAAAATTTTTATTCCAGATTAAAATGGTAACTCATTTGTAATTAGCCTGATCAGTAAAATAAGCCCATACTGCTTAAAACCATGAAAAAGGGTAGGGGAAAAAAAGACCACATTCCCATAGGGACTCCATCGTTGATCTATTTTCTATGAAACAAGTAGCTAGCTATTCCTACAGTGCTGCCTAAATGCCAGAGCTGTAACAGCTCCAGATAAATCCCTTTCTCCATGCAGATTTTCAGCACTAGGGAGGTCAGCTCTGGAGTTCAACAGAGTCAAGGTGCATTCTATCAGGATGGCGGGGATGCTGACTCCCCTATTGTACTCTTCCCTGGATTATGACAATAAAACCTAACTGTCAGCTTTGAAAATAGGTAAATTTGTGGAGAAAGAAAATGTGTGGCACTTTCATACCCCAGTCTATTCATGCCCCTGGGAGAAATTTATACAGAGTTTATCTCCGTAGATTTTGAAGACAAAATGGATCATGAAAAGCCTGTGATCTTTGCCATCAATCAGATCTGGATTTAATCCCTGGCTCCTCTATTTATGAAATATTTGACTTTTGATCATTTGTTTATCTGAATGTGTTTCTTTATAATGTTGCCAACCTTATAGGATTGGGGGAAAGATTCAATGAGATAAAGTATTTGTTTTCAAATATTTGTTACCCAACCTAACACATACTTACTGCTTAATAAAAACCCCAGTGGGTATGGCAGTGGTGATGGTTGACACCTCCCCACCTCGTCACTTAAGTTCCAAACCCAAAACAACAGAAAAGGGAGAGAGGCTGTGAATTAAACCCTTAGAAAAGCTCTCAATAGATGTCATCCTCTTACTTCTCAAGGGCTAACCAATGTTCAAATTAAAACTCAGAGATTTGGTTTTAAGTCTGCTGGAGCCGGAACAGAGAGGGTAGAGGCTAGCCCCAAATGCCCAGTTAGAACCAGTGAGCAATAGACAGCATGGTGGAAATGACTGTAAGATTAGGTCAGAAAGACCTGAGTTCTCTAGGGTTTTTTTTATTTGTCTTTGGTTTTTTTGTTTGTTTGTTTTTTGATTTATTTGGTAACGTTTCTCAACAAAGCAACCATGGGAAATCTGCTTGAATTCTCTACATCTCAGTTTCCTCATCAGCAAAATATGAAAATAATTATATCTCATTACTCTCACCAATTACTTCATGGTAATATTAGCAACAGAATTTGGATTAAGATCCTCAGAGATATTCTAGATTATAAACATTATGCTTTTTGTGACTCTGTGTTTCAGTTTCCCAAGCTGTGTGTCCCTAGAGACTTGTTCTGAGAGATGCTCTGAGAAAAGAAAATAAGAGTTATGTTTCATGGTCAAATACATTTGGGAAACACCACACCCTTTTTGGAGAGTCACAGTTAGTATTGGCATATTGAAAGCCTTGAGAAATCCCACAATATAGACATCACAAACAGATCCATTCTAATGGCTGCAGAAACCAGCTCTGACTAACCCACATCCATTGTCAGGGATTGCTTGGCCTCACAAAGGGAATCTACTTTGTAACTATTAAGTGGACTTCCACTTTTGTTTTCCTCTCTTAAGTTTGCCCTGATTCACTGAAAGAGGTAAATACTAGAAAGAGGAAAAATGAACTATTAAAAAAAAAAAAGATACACTTGAAGGCATTAGCATAACTCCCCTGCATAAATGGAGCCTGGATAGTTTACAGTGATAATCACATACATTTATGGATATAATTGGGGATTTCATGAACATTTTATTACCGACCAATGGACCAAACTCCGGAAATCAGACCAAACTAGACTGAAATCTGATTTCCAAGAGAAGAATCAGGGATGTTACTGTTGTACTTTTTAGGACCTAGCAAAACACCAGGCCTTGTCAATTGATATATTATGTATAAGACTTAATGCTATTCACTGAAGTACAATGATTTACAAAAGAAAACCTGCTCTCCTAGAAGAGTGCTTAGCATCTAACAGGCCTTTAGTAAATATTTGCTAAATATAGGAGCAAATTAAAACACGAATCTTACTAGGCTCTATAAAAAGGGCTGGATTTACATTACAAAATGAAGAGAAGACAATGCAAGTATTTTCTATTAATGCCTAGTGTTAACTCATATAAGTGCATAGCAAATAGTTTCAGATTTTTAGTTAGATTCTAACTTCTCAGTTGTATAAAGAATTATGGATGAGGTTAGCAAAAGAGTTAGTTTAGGTTTTGCATGGAAAACCCCTGCAAATTTTGGTATAGATCTACAGGTGAACAAACCATGTGTCTTATCTAAATAAGTCAGACATCTGGGTTCATACTTAGAGTAATGACATGGCTGGTAGAGCCCAAGAGTGTCCGAGGGACACATTACTTCATGAACATACTCAATTACTACCTAAAGTTTGGATTGGAGTTCATCAGAAGGATATGCAAGTACAGTTTTCATGAAGAAATTTTTTTTCATAAGAAAAACTAAAATTTGAGAATAGAGTGAAGTAAGTAACCAAAACAGGGAGGAGCACAAATATAAGGAAGAAAAGCAGCTTATAAGCTCAGAGGCAAAACTCAGTTCAGAAACAGAGGAAATCAGAAAAGAGCTGGGAAGGACATATTTGACAACACCAAGAAATTTTATATAAAGGGTTTCTTTTGGTTTAGTTGGATATTTGTAATTTGACTAAAAAGCAATGGCTTTTGTTATAAGACAATATATGGCACCCAAATAGCTTCTGGTATACTGGGAAATTCTAAGGAAAGAAAAATTAACTCACACAAATTGCTTAGAATTGGAAAGGAATGCATTTACCCTTATGGGCTGTTGTGGACTAAATATTTGTATCCCCCCAATATTCATAGGTTAAAACTCTAACTCCTAATGTGATAGAATTAGGATGTGGGGACTTTGGGACATGAGGGTGAAGCCTTCATGAATGGAATTAGTGCTCTTATTAAAAAGATCCCAGAGAGGTCTCTCATTCCTTCCATGTGAGAACACAGCAAGAATACAGCTGTCTATGAACCAGGAAGTGGGTCTCATCAGCTACTGAACCTGATGGAACTTGGATCTAGGATTCTCAGCCAGCAGGACTGTGTAAAATGAATGCTTATTGTTTAAACCCCACAGTCTATGACATTTTTGTTATAGCAGCCTGAACAGACTGAAACATGGACATTCTAAGATCATGAGTGGCCACAACACACTGGATTTACAGAGTGATACCTGGGATTCAATCTTGGCCCTACCTATTTATTTCTAGTTATTTAAACGTAGGCAAGTCATGGAAACGCATGAGTTTTAAAAGCTCACCTAGTTGGCAATAGGTATTTTGTAGAGATTACGTAAAGGTTAAATGATTGTTTATAAAAGTGCTTATTTCATTACCTCCTACATAGTAAGTGCTACAAAAGTAGTTATCCAAATATTTCCTCATCAGAAGATTATTATTATCAATATGTTTATTTGATGGGACTGGACCAATGTATATAAATCTTTTTCCATTTTCAGGAGAAGTTTATCTTGCAACTAAATTACAGAGGAATAAAGTTGAACAAGGAGGACAGTTTGGTGGTCTAACTAGACATGTCCCTGACTTTAAATTTTGCCGTTATATGTCATATTATATTGCACCCAAATATTTCTAAAACTTGAGATGCACTGCAACCTTACTATGCTCTTTATTGTTTTTGTGCAATATGTGTTTATCATGATATTATATTAAATTATACCTATTCTACATTTTTTTAATATTGCAGAGACATATAGGCTACTAGGATACCAAACTGGATTTTTTTATGCCAAACTGTAGCATTTTAAAAATATATTGTTTCTATATTATATTTCAGCTTAAAGTACTTATTAATGGGGCCCAATAGTATTTAGATGCAGGTATCTAATAAAGTATTAATTAAATAAGTCATGTTGAAATGTAACCACAGTAAGTTATTTATTAGCTTGGCTATATAAATGCCAGCAAAAGTAATGTCAATTTACTTTTCTAATTCTTAATTCTATAGAATTAGAAAAGTAAAATTGCTTAATACATTAAAGAGAAAAAAGTCAGCTTTTAAAACAAAAATATTATTTTATAGAATATTAATATTTTGAAAGTTCAAGAATATTTACTTCTGAAATTAGCATCCTCTGTCCATTAGTTCATTAAATATATGTGTACAATTAAATACAGCTGTACAATTAAATACATCTGTACTAATTTCCAATGAACTTGAGGCTCTGAGGTCAGATAGCCAAGATCCCAATGTTACTATTTGTGGCACTTAAACTTACTTTTTCTTTACTTAGGTTCCTCATCAGAAAAAAAAGGGAATTATCTCATAAAATGACTACATAAAGTGTATAAAGTATTTTAGCTTAGGACATAGCATGCAGTAAAACCTTGGTTAATATCAGATCTATAGTCCTAATAATAGAAGTCTATCCCAATCCTCTTTTGTAACCTATACAATTTAAAAATAATTTAAACTACATCAGGGCTTAGGTAAGGCCTGAAATATTACATTATACTTAATTATAGATGACCTCTGCTGTAAGTCTTTTAAAAATGTTTTTCATACCTACTTCATCCTGATGCCTTATCTCCTTAGGTAAAACTTCTTCATCCAAATATCCAAAAAGATGTTAAAGACTCAGGTAAGATTTCTCATTTAGGTTCACTTTACAGCAGCAACAACAGAGGTATATACTTTTGTTAATAAAAGAATAATTTGTAGTTATGGCCCTCTGAAAGTTAAGCCAGAAAATTTTAGATTTTATTGAGACATGAAAAGAAATATTGTTCTCTAAGTCAAATTCTCTATTATTAAAAAATGTCATCCCTTATGAATTTCATAAATAGCAAACCCAGGAACAGAGTAACCATTTTAAAAAGTCCGGAGGGGATTCCATAACAACATTTAAATACATTACTACTCAAACAGTTTGATTGGATTATAAAATATTTAAAGCTGCAGCTGTAGTTGTGATGTTTACTGTTATTTTGATTTCAAGATCTTCACACAAAAAATACAAGTTTACTTGTATTTATATTAAATAACTGCACCATAAAATAAAATGTACATAATATATATTTATGCAAAAAAGGACAAAATCAGAAATAGCAAAATAAAATCATAGTTCTTTAAAAGTTCTATCTCTGAATAAGAATAGTTACCTCAAAACCAAAAAAACTAAATACATGTTCTAGTTGAAAACATGTTAAAAACTGAGCAAAAGACATTAATATGAGTTCTGGTTATCATAAAACGTTACAATAATGAACTATACATGATTCTAAATAAATATAAAAACTCTTTGCAAACATGAAAACCTAACAATTATAAAGCAATAATTCTATTATTTTATTTCTTAAGATCAGGCCCAGAATTACATAATAAGATTGGACTTTAAGGTGGCAAGTTTTATCAGCATATTCTACCATCACATATTTAAAGAAATCAGGTTAATGGGCTAAAAAAAATAAAGAGACAAGAATGACAAACACATGTGCTGCCAAGGATGGTAAACTAATATGGGGAAAGATTTCCACTGTACCCATCCCTACTTCCCCACCAAAGCAGAAGATGGAACAATGATGACTAGAAATCTTGATGAACAAGAGGAAATTCCAGTTTCTAACTGAAACCTTATCATAAACAGATTATCTGTGATAAGCTCTATTTGTCATAAGAGGCTCCAGCTGCATTGATAGATCTTATACCAGGCGTCCCCAACCCACTGAATTGAAGACCAGTACTGGTTTGTGGCATGTTAGGAACCAAGACACACAGCAAGCAGTGAGTGGTGGGCAAGCCAGCATTACAGCCTGAGCTCCACCTATTAGATTGTCATAGGACCATGAACACTGCTGTGAACTGTGCATGTAAGGGATCTAGGTTGCATGCTCCTTATGAGAATCTAATGCCTGATGATCTGAGATGAAAGCAACATTCCCCATGCCAATTTCATGGAACTGTCTTCCAGGAAACCAGTCCTGGTGCCAAAAGGTTGGGGACCACTGCATAAGGCCTCCCATTAGATGAGAAAATAAATACCTCCACTATTTCAATCTTAAGACTACCCCTCAAAGAACCATAGTCCTATAAACAACTACATTTAACTCTATGTTGGCCTATAAGTTTTGAATATTCACTATATTAACCCATCCTCCTTAGCCCAATGCTGTTGCTAATAATAATGGCACTACAATTTTTTTCATGTATGCTATTAGTTGTAATTTTTTTTTTATTTTAAAACAACTCTTTGTAATCACTAGTCCTATTTGACAAATGGGGAGGAAAGTAATGCTCAGCTAATTAAGTATCTTGCCGAAAGTGGCACAGCTTATAAATAAGAAAGCTTAGACCATGCATTTTACTAAGTCAGAATAGAGAAAAGCCATTTACAGAAGTGTGGCATGACTGTCTGGCTCTGAAATTGAACAGATGTCATTTCAAATTCCAGGTTCAATTCTTTGGAAAGTCACTTTAGTTCTTCCATCTTCTGTTTTCTCATTTGTAGAATGGATCATAGTAGTATCTGCTTCATAAGGCTGTTGTAGGAATCAAATAAACCAGTGTATGTAAAGTACTATTTTAGAAGCCCAAATAAGTGAGGAATAGATGAAACAAGTATACACAATGTAAACTTTCAAATATACAGTCTCTAGATTACTAACTGATAAATCATTAGGTCCTAATTAGAGATACAGATATTATCTGCTAAAATTTGGTCAAGAAGTCATTTATGCCTTATAATGCTGATTAATGATACATGTATCTAGATGGGCTGAAGAAAGAATACCAACAACCTGGGAGATAATTCGTTGAAATACAAGAAACAATGTGTAGAGAAGAGAAGAAGGTAAAGAAATCAGTACTGGTCCTGCTCCCTATCTCACTTAATCAGCCTTCACTCTCTTGCCTCCAGTTCTCCCTTTTCTACTTTTATAATGGGTGCTTGTAGTATAAATAAAAGGAGATCAGGCTATAAATTCAGATGGCCCATATTGAAGATTGGTCTTTCATAGGGTAATCCCAACATCTCTGAGTGCTAATATATTCATCTGCAAAACAAAGCTGATAATGTCTGCTAATAAACCTCATTATGTATGTGAGAGCAGTTTACTGTATATGTGTATTTTACTCTCTAAAATTTGGCATAATAGATCTAGGTGTAGACTGGAATTTCAACTGGTTTCCTACTTTCAACCAATTTATTACAAAATTTTTAGAATCTATAAAATATTTAGTTTGGAGTAATGGTATCTAGATATTTCAAAACTTTTCCAGGGTAGCATAGTGAACTGCTTCCGATAAGAAAATTTTCACTTATTTTTTTGACAAATGAAATATTGAGGTAGCTTTAATTTAATGGTTAATGGAGGGAATGGCTTTGAATACTTTTGGGGCACATGTGCAACCTGTATGTTTCACAAGCATTCCCTATAATATAAAGGTCTTTCATACAATAAAGTTTTTTTAAATAAAGAGAGGGAAGGATTCACAAGTCATACATTAAAAATAATCTTGTAATTTTACAATCACACTTTGCAGCTGCCCTGTATATTCATTATCTAGAAGATAAAAGTGGACAAATATGATTTGGCAAGGTTGATCATTTCAGAGGTGAATGTAGACTTTGAGCTTTATTAACTAAAGTTGAAAATTAGACCACCAGATTTCAACTATCCAGCAGTAATTAATTCCAGCATGTGAAGCTTAATTAAGGAAAAACAAAATATATCGCAAATTGTTGAAAAGAAAAGCCACCAACTGATGACACAGGACTATTTAAATATATTAAAGAAATGGTGCAGTATGTTAAGCATGTAATTCCGCCAAAATTCTCCCAGCTTTATTTTGTCTTCCTTTCCATATCCTTGGCTCTCAAAAATTCATTCTCAGTTCTTTGGCAAAAGAGACTGGAAGAGACCAGAAGGAGAAGAGGGGGAGTGGACAGCTCATGCTAATGCCACTTTTCATTTCATTTTTTTTTTGAAAAATCCTACTTTGTGCATATAAAATATAGTTCATTTCTTATCCTGAGAGTTACCCTGGCATATGGCTCAATTGGAAACATCAAGGTTTTTAGTTCTTTTTAAAATGGCTTGCCTCTTTTCCAGACTTTTCTTCAGATGTATTGTCAATGCCACTTTTAGAGTCTATCACCCTTATATTGGTAAAATCTTCTTCACTTTCTGGCCAGGGAGGTCCTGACCATCATGGTAAATGAATAGGGAGTAGGACAAGTCTGGGACTGATTGTGAAAGCACCCATCTAAGCAGTTTCTTTTTCAGACATTATTGAGCTTGTGTTGTTGGAGTTTTTAGTAATATAAAAGATATGTTCTCTAGACCCAGAAAGAAAACTCATTCCTACTTTTTACTCTACTATTGAGTTAAGTAATCCAAAGGCATCTATTGAACTCTATAATCATGCTATGAAACCTATGTACTCAATTGAAATTGCAAAAGTCGGATCTAATCCTGATCCTTCTTGATAAAATACAATGCTAATTAGTGCTTATCTTAAGAACATTTCTATATATAAGGATTTTTAAACTCAATGCTGGTCTAGTCTGGTATTGGCATGACTAAAATAGCCAATTTCAAAAGTTGAACGTGGGCTATAAGAATTAATATCTTGTTCTATTGCCCATCTTCATTAAAGTTTTTTGTTTCCAAAATATGAAAATACTTGTCCAATTTAATTCATCAAGACTGTTCTGCATTAGTCTGTAATAAATCCTGTATAAAGTCAACTGAATGCATGAAATCATCGGATAATGTCAGACTCTGTCAAAGAGGGAAAAGAAGATAGCCTAAAAGTAGGTATCAAATAGGGAAACTTGGAGTATGAAATTAAAGATAAAGGTAAAAGAAAACTGGAGGGAGATAAGTAGTTTGTTCCTTAAATTATTCTTCCTACATGTAAATACATTTTATAATGTTTTATAAGAAATATAAACAATATTTCTCTTAAAAAGTAAAAAAATGTTATTCTTTGTTTGCAATGCTAAGAAAGGTTTCAAGAAACTTTATAAAAGTGACTTTCGATTTCTGGCTGGCAATAATTTCTGAGTCCTGAGGCAATTGTCAGTCACTTTTTCAAATTGGAGAATACAGTAATAGTTTTAAGAGTATACCCTTATTTTCAGTTCAATATGTGCATTCTAAATCTAAATATCATGTGTAAACAAGTATATACAGAACTTCATGTGACAAAAATATACAAGTTATAAAAATTCATTCATAATCAATAACATACAAATGTGTATCCAGAAATTTTGAAGGACTGAGCAAGGTTGTATTTTTCCTTAGCACGTTCTTCATCTATTTTCCATTTTTCTTACCTGGCAGGCAGCTAGGGGCTACAGAGTCAAATAATGAAGTTGTCTTTCATTTGGATATAGTTTATTAATGGCAAAACACTAATCCATTAATCAACTTAAAACAAGTCAGTAAATTGAAAAAAAAAGTATCTTTTTTGGTAACAGAGATCACATGCCTCTTAAAAAGGAGCCATTATCTCCATGGGTTTCTCAGTTGAAGTTAAAACTCTAAAAATGATTTTCATTCATTTCTCATTAATATGCAAAAGTATTCAAATTAGATAGTAATTAACCATCTACTCAGTAGAAAACCTTTTCATGATAATTTATGATAAACTCAGTTGCCGCTTTGATTGAGATTGATTTTTGGTGTTGAGAATCTGTCATGAATACAAAAAAGCACCTGAAAAAATATTTTTAAACACCTAACTTATTGCTCAGCTAATTACATGGTAGGCATGTTCACAGACTGTTCCAAAGAGAAGCTTATGGACCAAGATCAGTCCTAAAAGGGCTTTGCATACACTCTTCCCATGTTTACAGTAAATCTCAGCCCAGAGCACAATGTCTGGATGCCTCTGTTTAGTTCACTCATACCATTTCTGGACTTATTATTCTTTAATTCAACCAACTGTGACACTCCAGATAAGACTGCCTGGCTAATACAGAATTTCAATAAGAAGCAAACTATGAAAATGTTCACATATCCTCACAATCAATTGATTTCACAGGGTATTTTACTCAATGGGCTCAGTTACGATTTGTAAACAGACTTCAGTTTTACTTTCTGCAGATGAGAAAGAGACCTCAGTAGTAGGTGATGAAAGGATGATTATTATGTGCTTGTCAGGCCAGTGGAAGTCATTTTCATTCTCAACAACAAAAGCTGGAGTTGAGTATCGGTGACCATAGGGTATGCAACTGGATCTAAACACTGAAGACTGCTATTCAAAACGTTGCTCCCTGAGAGTGACAAAACCATGGGGACACAGAGAGTGACCTCCTCTTAGCACTTTTTAAAAATACACAAAGGAAAACACCTACTACTTTCAGTACCTATTTGGTTGCAGAGATCAACTATGGGTGAGAATTCCTGTGGCAATAGATGAAAAGGAAAATCTGACTCCGGCTGGGTGTAGATGGCTGCCTCAATCATCTGTTTAAAAGCATTTTATTGTGGGATCAGAATAGTACATGTTACTTTTTGGCAAGCATTTTACCTTAGTTTATATTTGTATTTGAGAAGATTCTAGATGTTATTTCATTTGCTCCTCTGTCAGGTATGATGGACAGATACTGAACTCATTTTCCAGATAAAGAACATGAGGCCTGAGTGCTGTGACTGTTAACAAATTAATCAGCCGGTTAGATGAGCAGGGATGAGGACTTGATGTCCTTCTGCTTTTTTTTTTTTTTTTTCTTTTTTTTTCTGGCTACGTGGTATTTTTCAAAATATCTCCCAAAGATGGCCTACATCAGAATCATCAAGGACGCTTATTAGGAATGCCACTTGTGAGGCCCCTTCTCAGTTGCACTGTGTCAACCTCTGGAAAAGGCATCTAAGTAATTCCATTTTAAAAGTAGCTGCCCAGGTAATTCTTAAGCAGACACACACACATTTTTAATGCACTGCCTATAACTTTACCTCACCAAACAGTTGATCTCCCACCCTTGCAAAATGTACACTGTATCTTCAGAGAATGGGGCAAATGGGGAGTGATAGCTTTGTGTGGATCCTCCTGGGGATTTTCTGACAAGGTAAAATATAGGGTAATTAGTAAAATATCCTGAAAACATTGTTCTGAATCTTCTCAGCAATGTCTGAAAAGGGTAATTATATAATAATGAGCATAAGCTTAAACAAAGAGGAGAAAAATCTGCATGCAAAAAAGCAACACCTTAAAAATTTTTTGAAAGGTGCCGCTACAAAACGGAGTGGTGAAATGATTGCAATTTGAAGCAACTGCTAGTTCCCATAGGGAATGGTAAGTTCCCAGTATAGATGATATGTGTGCACATTTTTTTGTTAGATTCTAAAACAACAGAATTAGCCATAAGCTAGGAGTTGCTATGATTTATGTTTTATAATAGCCCCTCCTTTCCATTTCCTGGTCAGCGTTCTGGATGATTATTTCATTTAGCACATATTCTCTAGTTTGTTTCTTTTGCTTCAAGTCTATTTTACATTTTCCTGTACTGAACTGCATTTGCCATCTGCTGATCCAATTACTTATACAATCCAAAATCCTTTGAGTCTGATTGTTTTGTTCCTCATTATTTGCTCAGCCTCTAGTTTTAGTATCCTCTGTAAACTCTAAAATCTTGTTTTCAATACCTCATCTGAATTTCTTATATACAATACAACCCAATTAGCTCAAACTTTAGGTTTTCCTAAGGCTACTTGTGTTTGAGGGGATTTAGATCAGTTGAGTGGATTTGGAACAAAGTCCTGATAATTCACTCTTCTAAGAACAGTTGATCCATCAAAAATTGAACTATTCTCTTTAAATTGAAAGGAATCCAAAAATAGG